AAGGGAGATTTAACCAGGTGGGGAGGGAGGGAGGGCGCGAGCAGGGGAGGGGAGAGGGAAGGAGCCGGCCCACTCCCCGCCGCCGGCCTCGGGCTGCCCCTGCGCGTCCCCTCCAGATCCGGCCCGCGGCTCCCCGCCCGGCCCCCCCAGCCCCACGCTCAAGTCCACAAGTCCGCCCGCTTCCTGCGCTGCCGCGGCCCTTCCCGGGGCGCCGCCACCGCGGGCTGGGCCAGCGGGTCCCGCCCGCCCGGGCCCTTCCCCAGGTCCCGGTCCCCGTCCCCAAAGGGCGAGTGGGTGGTCGCCCGCGCGAAGTTTGCAGCCCTGGATTCCTGCGAAATGACGACGGCTCACCAGCGCCTGTGTTTTGCTGTCTCTCTCCCTTTTTCCTGCTCCCTGTCTTTTCTCCGTTTTCCTCCACCCCCCGCTCCTCCGAAGGCCAAAAAGACAAGCGAAACCTGCGGCAGATGAAGGCTTTTGGGATTGTAGCGTCTGCACCTTCCGAAACAGCGCTGAAGCCTTTAAATGCAGCATCTGCGATGTGAGGAAAGGTACCTCCACCAGGTACTTGAAGATCTGTGTTACCTTTTGTTAAAGGACTTGTTTTTTTGTGTTTTTTTTTAAGGTTAAGAGAGGGTAGTGAGCTGTACTTTACTGCTCTCTTTCCGACTTGTTGATTAGGACTTTTCTGCATTTGTGGGGTGGTTGAATGGTGGGGGTTTTTTGGTGTGGGGTGGGGGTTGTGTGTATTTAGTGTTGGGTGCAAAGCCTCGTGTTCGCTAAATGATTTATGGGAGGGAATTTTTCCAGGTTTTTGTCTTATTCCAAATAGACACAGGATTTATTTGACAAATGTGTGCATAGACTTATTGATAGAGGTACAAAAAGAGAAGAGGCAGTGCTTTTGGTGTGGATTGTAGAAAGTTAGACCTTTTTATTTTTGCCATGTGCAGAATGGTTTTAATTTGCCTGTCTTGAGTTATTTTCCTCCTCTCTGAGAAATGTAGTGGTGACAATCCAGTAACGCCGCTTGGCTTGTGCTTTTCCTGCCTTGAGCTGCAAATGTCTGGTATTTTCTTGCAGTTGATAATAAGTTTGATTTGATAAATGCATTTTTTTTTGAGGGCTGAGCTGTCATTCTTTTTTTTTTTTTGACCAGTTTATGCAGACTGGTGATGGAGGAGGATTTTTTGCAAAATGGTGAAATGAATCTAGTGTCTCAATTGAAGTTGTGTTTAAAGCCTTATTTTGAAAAGAATGTTGAAAGAATTCCTTTTCCTTCAGATGAAGGTAGTAAACTGCATCTTGTGTCAAAACCAGTTGGACAACTCCAGATTTAACATTTAGATATACTTGGATAAAATGTCAAGACTTTCATTTTGTAGTCTTCTGGTCCACCTTTTATCTTTAACGAGTCTAGAATTGGTTTCAGTGGTGTGAGAGTCTGACATTAACTGTTCTTGGTGTCATTTAGTGGCTAGGCATTGGAGTTGGGTGTGTTGGCTAGAGAATGAGTGAGTTCTGGGTAAATTTTTCTGGGAAACTACAAGGTTGATTGCCAAAAGTCTGATTTCATCAGGTGATCGTTTTCTGCACTGGTGAACTTCTAGTATGGGATAGTAAGTACTTCACATTCCAACTGGACGTTGTTCTTCAAATGAATGTGTCCTGTAAAGTCTCAATGCTATTGTTAGGCCATGGAGTCATTTCCTACTCATAGAATTTCCAAGGACTCGCTGGTGGATTTGAACTGCCGGCTTTTTGGTTCACAGTCCAGTGCTGATTATACTGCACCACTTCAGGAGTCTTTGCTGTGGTTTATACCTGGAGCTGAATAGGGAATTGGGCGACCTAAAGCACTGTAACTCAGGCATTCATTGGTTCAATCACTGGTAGAACACTTCTGTGAATTCTCTTTAAGTAGTGAGATCTTTGAATAAAAATACTCAAGAACTAAAAATACCTTCTTAGGAGTAGTTTTAATAGTGAATTTCTTGTCCATTTTTTTATGTAAGTGGAATAGATGGTTTGGCCAAACTAGACGTTGTATGAGTGACTTCTATGTTTGATACTGTTGTCCAAAACAGTATTTATGAAATTTCATTGAATGGCATGAAAGTTTAAAAATGTGTTTGTTATTTAAAGCAGTAGTAAGTGTATATTACTTATGAGGAATGTTTTTTACACATAGAATCCCTCAGAGGCCAAACCCCCCCTTTATTGTGGTTTTACTTTGAGTTTTACCGTAGATGATGTTCAGGCATGACTAGGAAACTCCGAAGAACTTGAGGTCCTGACTGGTGATGAGAAACTTGAAAACCAAATCCGAAAGTTTACATTTGATTTATTGCTGGGAATAATGATCTCATAATGAAATGCTTATTAATTTCTGTATATCGAGAGTCTGATAAATCAGTTTCTCAGTAGCACGTGGAGGATTTTCACTATAAAAACAGTACAGTTTTTTTTTTTTCAAGGTTATATAGATAAATAAAATTTGGATCTCTTAAGCAAATGTATTAAATTACTAAAGAACCAACCCAACCCTCTGTCTTCGAGTGGATTCCTTCTCATAACAACCTTATAGGACAGTAGAACTGCCGGAGACATTTTCCAAGGCAGGACTCTCCCCCCCGAACACACAGAGTAGTTAGTGGGTTTGAATTGCTGGCCTTTCCATTGGTGGTGGTGTACCGTAAAGTCGGTTCTGATTCATAGTGACCCTGTATAGGGTTTCCAAGGATATAAATCTTTTTGGGAGCAAAAAGCCTCATCTTTCTCCCATGGAACCACTGATAGTTTCAAACTGCTGTCCTTGAGGTTAGCAGCTCGACTCGTAACCTCTACATTACCAGAGCTCCTTAGCAGTGAATTATGTTGACTGTTGTGCTGCCATCAGGGCACCTTTAATAAATGTACTAATAACTAAGAATATGTTAGAAGTTTTTCAGTGACCAGATACTTTTCTAGTATCTTCAAGGGCCTTCATGGAATTTTTTGATAATCTGGTATTGAGTAGGATTTGAACACAAATTACAGAGGTTTGTCTGAGTACTTAGTATCAGTTTATGGTGTTCTTTCGTAGTCTCAGTTGGCTTCATGTATTGTCAATATTAATGTGTTAATTTTGGAAATCATCTTGAATTGGGCTGTAAATAACATTATGGCTTTATTTCATGCTATGACTGGGTTTCATGTGAAAAGATGAATTTGACATTTTCATCTTGACCCTCTATGTAGTGCCTCAACTGGTGTGGTGCTGTGGGTTAATATGCTGGACTGCAAGGTTGGATTGAAACACAAGGTCACCAGCCACTCCTTGGAAGCCCTATACTGGGTTGCTATGAGTCAGAATCAACTTGACGGCAGACAACAATCAGTTACTACAACTCTCTAATGCTTTGTTGTTGTTGTTGTTGTCATTTTCTAGTATTTCAGAGGTTTAATGTGAACTTGACATTTTATATCTTGTTAAGTGCCGCCGAGTCGGTTCCGACCCATAGCACCCTGTATAGGGTTTTCAAGGAGTAGCTAGTAACCGCTAACTTTACGGTTCAAACCAACTTTGCAGTCTTAGCGCATTAGCCCACAGCACCACACCAGAACTCCTTATATGTTTTACATAGTATTAATCAGACTTTATATATATTAATCAGCCTTAGAAACTTGCAATGCAGCTCAATACAGGCTTTTGGTTTGGTTTAGTTTTTGGATATTGGGTAATGGACAAATATTTGTGCTTTTTATATCCATGGACTTCAGAGGGCTTTCTATGTTGACTGCATAGAAAATGGTTTAAGTGCTCTAAGCTGGTGTCTTATATATAGCCTTAGCTCGATAGCTAGCCAGTGGTCATTTTGAAGTTTTTTTCAGTTTTGTTACTGTCACCATCATCTACCAGTCACCCAAAGTTGAACTGTAGTGGGTAGTCTGTTGTTAGTGGTGTCCAGTCAGTTCCAACTCATAGTGTTCCAGTGTAGGGTTTCCACAGAGCAATTGGTGGGTTTGAACTGCCTTGATGTTTGCACCCAGTGCTGATACTACAGTGCCTCAACAGGAGTCTTACGGTAGTCTAGTTGTTAAGTACCGTGGAGTCGGTTCCGACTCATAGCGACCCTGCACAGGGTTTCCGAGGCTGTAAATCTTTACGGGAGCAGAAAGCCTCATCTTTCTCTCGTGGAACCACTGGTAGTTTCGAACTGCTGACCTTGTGGTTCGCAGCCCAATATAGTATTGATTATTTTTCAGTTTGGTTAGAAAAATATGGCCATTCCTCCAAAGAACATTAAATTCCCACGATGGAGATTTTATCCCAGGCATTTGAGGGTTGAAAGGTAGCTAGAACACACAGCCAGATGACGGTAATCCATATTACAAAGGTTCTAAGACAGATAACTAAAGTGCTGTACAAGATCAGAGGGAGATTGACTTGGGGAATCAATCCGTTAGAAGAATACCCTCCTCACCATTTCTTCTGAGCCAGTGGAATTAAATTCTACAGAATTTAACTTTAAACTACTATTGCTCTGTGGATCAGATATGTAGTTTTACAGGTTTAGTTCTGAGTTGAAGTCTGTTTTTTTACTCTTGGAATAGCATAGAGCAGAATGAAAAGTAATTCAGAAAGGTCTAAGGAATCTTAAGGAAAGCATGGGGTGGATGGGGGGTACACTTACTAGTCTACTTGGAGATTTGGGGCGATGTTGCTGTTGTTAAGTGCCATCCAGTTGCTTGTGACTAATAGCAACTCTGTATAGGGTTTCTGAGTAGTGGCTGGTGGGTTTGAACATCGTACATCGCCTCACCAGAACTCCTTGGGGGCAGTAGAGATCTGTATTTTAATTGTATTATTAAGTATGTGGTGGGTTTTTTGGGTTCTATTTTTCTACAAGTATTTAAAATATTTTTTTTTCCTTTTCTTACATTTTATTTTGTTGGTATTGAGAGGCGTGCAGCAAAATATACATCAATTCAAAAGTCTCTTTGGTTCTTTAATACACTTTTTTCCCAACTATACCTTCTCACTGTTTACCTTCCTGGGTATTTTTTAAATAGCTTTATTGAGGTCACCATGGGTTGGAATTAACTCAACAGCAACTGATACCAATAAGGTTTAATTTACATATCATAAAATTCTCTCATTAATTCAGTGGTTTTTAGTTTAAGGAGCTGTGAGTCCCTTACTGTGACCCAGTTTTAAAATACTTCCATCACTTTGAATTGTTCCTTCATGCCTATCTGATACACTTTAAGTCTTAACAGTAAAATATGGCAGAGTCACTGGCACCTGGTGAATAATCCATTTCCTCTCGATCACTGGATGTGTTTCTTCTAAGCTTTTCAAAATAGAAAATAAAGACATATCTATGTGCAGATGTGTACGTGTGTGTGTATGTGTAAGGTTGGTGGGTGGAGAAGAAAGAAGACACACTATCCCTTTCCTTAGATGTTAACCAATGTAGTATGTCCCAACCTGCTTTGCCAATCTCAAGAAAGAGGATACCAACTTTAAAAGAACAAGGGAGAGAGAAAAAAAACCCAACACTAATACACAGATTTACCTA